TCGTAACGTCACACTAGGAGAGAGCGGAAGATAGCCATATTTCTGGAAGGAAACTTCTCCCTCTCACGCCGAAAGCCAAATCGACACGAGAAACTGCGGACAAAACAATAAATTTGAACACAACGAAAAGAAAAAAACAATAGTAGAGATTGGTTGGAAGGCGAAAACTTACTAATTTCTATCTAGGTGAGGGGACTTTTTCAGAGCTTCTTCGAAATTGGATTTTCTCTCTTCTTCCGGTTTGGACGGTGCCGACAGCACTTGAAAATGCTCTAATTTTCGGCATTCCGAGTCTTCGAAAAATATAAAAACAAGTCAATAGCGTCAAAGTTCGATTTTGCCACACCATTCACTTACCACGATTGATTCGTAACGTCAAGGTTTTTACTTCATTCCCTTGGAGGAAACCTCGACTTTTCGGTTGTATTTTGAAACTTTCGGGTCTGGAACACTTTATCTATCCGGTTATTTAGTTAATTTAGTAACTAGATATTTACAGGAGAAAGGAAATTAAAGTCTACCGACCTTATATATAAGTGGAAGAGCCAAGTTGTTCTTGAGAGTAAAGGTTTTTGTGTTCTCGTTCTTTACAAAAGTCACTTCTTTCGGTCTGAAAACGAAATTCCGACTTAAATTGGATAATTACTCTTAAAAGGGGATACAAAATAGAGTACTTACGTCACGCTGAGGTATTTACTCTTCTTTAATTTCACCATTATCCACTTCAATTAGTTCCCGAAAATATTATTCGATTATTGTTTTTCTTATTGTTAGTCTGTACAATCGAGACTTTAAACAATAAAGCATTTTTATAATTTTTGCCGAAATAAATAAATAAAAAAACGAAGTATTTTATCTTAAATATCTTCCTCTCTTTTAATTACATAAAAGTATATAAAAATAATGAAGAACACGTAATGTCTTATGTGTACTTTCTTATCTGTAATCATTCCTGTTTCTGTTTCCGGAATTAATTCGATTCGGGGAAGAAAAAATAATGTCAATTTTCTGAAAATACGAAGAAAAGATAAGAATTCTTATAAATAACGTAAAGAAATCCAAAAGTCATGCCATTTGTTCGAATAGATTCGTCTACAAGTCGAGTTTCTTCTAATCTTCATATCAACTTCTTCATTAAGTAAATTCGTCGAGAATGAAAACTCTTCTTAAAATAGTGGTAAGTTAACAATTTACGTTCTTTACTTAAAATATCGAATCAGTAGCGCCAGCAGACTATAAAAAGGGGAGCACAAGCTGTAAAAAAAAAGAGAACATACATTCTACAGGAAGCTTCAAACTACGATTGAATGTCGGATCAGTTTCCAAGGTGAAAGTTTTGATCGACGTACGAGGAAGTTGCATGGGAAAATGGACAAATATCGTTCGTTAGTATTTTTTATGCAATATTTCAGAGTAGGCTTGAAGTCACGAGGTTCTTGGAGTTGAAGTTTCGGGTCCTTTGGAAATTACGAAAAGGGCAACACGGATGAAAAAGAGAGGCACGTGTGTCGAATGTATAATTCGTGTAATTTCGGATGGGGAACGTTAGACATCAAAATCAAAAATTCTGTAAATGATCTGTAAATACGTGAATAAAATGTTTGTGGTAGTGAATGAAATTTTCAGGATTGAAAAATGAGATAAAACTAGCAAAAAGTAGTTACTTCCTCGAATATAGTTATGAGATCACGGGCTACAGTTTATAAAACTTAATATTTTAAGTAAATAATTCACTAAATAAAGTTTAGAATTTTTGGAAAAATCAACAAGGAAGTAAAGATAACAACTATCAACTATAACACTTCCTTTCAAACGACATTTTTCCTGCCACGCGGGAAGTAAGGAAAAAAAGGCTGAGATTGGATACCATCATACGGACCATATGACATGGCAGAAAGACAAAGTCAGAGAGGTCGGCCCCACTTCCAGAAAGACATCGCTGCACAAATCAAATCGCCCAAAAAAAACTTTCTTTGTGTATTCAGAAAAAAAAAAAGATTTTTTTTTGCATTTGTCGACGTTTCGAGATCCTAAGTACAAAAATGTAAAAATCTTGTGGGTCACTTTTTGTGTGGGGGAAAACGATTTTGTTCATCCTATTTGAAGCTTAATAGCTCCTGTATTTTTTGTCGAAAATTTCTGAAATTTTGCAGGGAGGTTTGTCTATTAGGAGAATTGATACTATAAAATTTTCGTGGTTAAAGGTCGGGGGTAAAGGAGATCGTGTGTATCTCCAGTAGGGTCAGAGTTGATGAGGATTTACTCGTTATTAGCATTTACAACTCTTTGTAAAATCTTTTTCTACCCTGAAAAGTAAGCTTTTTTGCATTTTATAATATTTAAAAATATAAACATTTTAAAAATATAATATGATAACAGATGGTGCCACGAAATGTCGCCGAAACTTTAAGCAACTCTTTGCTGAATCTTTTCTTATATGACGTTTTCATTGCGTCTACTAAATATTTGTCTAAACACAAATAATTAACACGTAATAATTTAAAATTATGAAATTTTCAAGTATTTATTGAATTCGAATTTCACTTAACATCTTAAAATTTAGTAAATTTATATTTTTAACTTTTTTTTCTCAGGTATTATCTGCAACGATCGCTGTATCATTGGGATATTCAAGTAAGTCATTTCTTCACAGCATATTTATACTTACGCCAGAATATTGATTAAATAACTGTGTTTATTAATCGTTTAGGATGCATCAGATCTCGACAGCACAATTTGAGACAAGCAAATCCATTCGTAATTCACCAATGCGACGAGAACGGCGATTATCTACCACTGCAGCAAACCGTTGGCACCCCTCATTGGAGATGGTGTTTCAATAAGAACGGAAATGTCCTGATGGGTCCTTCCAGAAAAATCGAAACCTGTGTTTGTTTCGTGAAGATGTTTGCTTCTCAAGAAGCAGGTAAATTACACTTTCCGATTACCAGAATAGTATGTAATTCATGGTATAGATAGTTAATGCATTTCAATTGTCGACAGGTGAACGTGTGCCCCGATGCGATCGTAAAGGATATTTTTATGTGGTGCAAAAGGATGGCACTAACGAATGGTGCGTGGATAAGAATACAGGAGAAAAGACGTCTAGTTTACGTCCAATTAATTCAGAAATTATTTGTAATTAATCATTAAAAACCTAACCGAATCTTTTCTTTACAGTATTTTGTGTTAATTTTTATATATATATTTGCTTCTCTTTAAAGCAAAAAGATTTCTTTCCCTCACAATATGGCGGTTTTTTCTACAGTGAAGCCACTTACTGCTTCAAATGCCCGCTGGTAGTAACAGAGCGCTACAACTCTAGTTAGATATTATAGCTCCATTCACCTGGCTACTTGCCTCCTGCCAAATTGTTTAGTAATTAAAATCAAATTATTTGAAAATTAACTATAACCACCAAAATTTAATAGCATCAATATCCAATATATTCTATAATAATTTGGGATTGGGAAGAAATATTAAGATCATACTTATTGCATAAGGTTGGTTTGATTGTATACGGCAACGCAGCAAGTTTCCCAAGCCGAGAGGCATTAAGGCATTGATTAATCTGTTGAGGGGAATGCCTCTCGGCTTGGAAAACTTGGCCCCTATTAAACGCGTGAATAAAACTCGAAAAACTCCACGTGGCCAGCCCGTTGTCAGGCCCGAACCCGTGACCTACTACTAGTGTTTAGTGGTATTGCATAAGACAATTTTAAAATATCTTCTCCTCTTAACGAAATATCTTCTATGACAACATCATAAATATTTACTAGAAAATTTTAATGGAAAATACATAATTGGAGTAAATTAATGGCAAATCGATAAAATGCCGTAAAACTTTACCTGAATACACGTTAAGCTGATACAGAAATCAATCTATTTTAATACTTCAAAGGAATAAGATAAAGCAATAGAGGAAACCTCTGCAGCCAGCATTCAAAATACTGTTAATTCAAGATTTTCTTTTTACATTTTCTTCGGGAAATTTAGAAAATGTACGTTTCACCTAATTTGGAGTGCAATTTAAACGAAAAGGCTGATGACAACTGTTTAGTTTGTGTGCTTGATAGCACTTACAAATTTCTTACAATGTGTGGAATGTCCGGGATTATCCCAAATGCTCGTTGCAGATCGAGATGTAAGGCTTCCATGAATAAAATTAGTAAAGTCTATTCTTTCTTGTGTTTATTTTTATCATGGATCATTTTCCTTGGATCCATAAGTGTATGGTTCTTATTGTTATTGAAAAAAAAAGTTGCTTGCGACAAATATTGCTGGATATACACAATTATCTTTGTCACAGTCATGGTTTACGTCTCGCTTTTGAATGCCCTCTTCAATTTTTTCCCTATCAAACAACGAATTAAAGACGATCTTGGCTTCATATGGTTAAATGAAGATTTTTCTAAGCTGACACGGATCAAAATCGCTCGTCGTTTGAAGAAACTACAGAATATTCTTTCGCTGCTATCTGATACTGTTAATTTGCTGATCTTCTTCTCAGCATTGTTCTTAATTTTTTCTAGATTCGATACAGACTTTCTCGTGTTTCCGGCATTCTGGAAATGGCTGGTGGCATTATTATTCATTTCTGCAGCGCTGTATGCTGGATGTTGTTTGTGGTCTACGTTAATCTTCGTGGTTTTAATATGCTGGATGATCGGTAGTCAATTCGAAATTGATCGATAACGAAATCGCAAGTCTGTTTTCTACTCCCGAAATTCTGGAAAAGGATAGAAATTTCCGAATATTAAGAAGAAAACATCAAAAAATCGCTAACTCTGTAGAAAATCTTAACGATTTCATTTCTATATTTGTGGGACTCGCGTATTTTATTCTAATTCCTTTAGCCTGCACCATTTCGTATCAATGGATTTTCGAAGATAATCCTCAGTACGTTGCATCGATTTTATTCCCTTCATTCTTCAGCATTTTGGCCGTTTCCATCTTCGTAACATTAGCCTGTGGAAATTTACATAACATGGTAATTCATTATTTAATTGTAACGTTTAATAACCAGCCGGATGGTCGAAGTAGTTAAGGCGTTAACCTGCTATCTCTGTTGTATCCGGCATCGAATCCGTATGGTAGTAAAACCCCAGGAATTTTTCGGGGTGGTCTATTCCGGATATGTCGAGTTCTGTCCCTAACTAACAGTCCATTTTGGCCCCAAAGATTTCAGAATTGTTTTGGTTTGATTAAATAAGGCAACACAAAACGGGGGTGCACGATGATTATTTATGTTTCACACAAGTAAAGAAAATCTAGAAAACTTCATAGTTCCAGCACATTGACCGTGTGCCCACCTGAAACACTTAACATTCTTCAATGGTTTAATCGACTCTTCCACTAGTGGAAAAGATTTCAGGGTTGTGTTATGAAAGTTGAACTGAAAGTCTTTAGCACCTTCAACATACACTCAGACTCATCGAATATTATACAATATATACACCTTATTGTTGAGAATCATTTTTACTACTTTAACTAACGTTTTCAACCTGATCAACAGGCCATCATCAGGCTACCAGTTTGCTGGAACGTTTACAATCGTTCTATAATCGAACCAATATACAATAACAAATTCGAATTTAAAACGGTTCGAAGATTTGGTTAAAAAATCGAAATATAAACTATAAATAATATAACTAATCCATTAAATACATAAGCTGAACGAATCAAAATAAATAGAGTAAAATAAAATAAAATACAAATATAATCACACAAGATATAAAATTACATCGACCGCGCGCTATAGAATGCTGTAGAATAGTGCCCCTTGCTCACGTCTTACATGTGCTCCTTAAGTCTTTTGTTCAGGTTTCTGGTATACTACGTACCCACGTACTATTTGTTCAAACCTAATTGACCTATTTTTATATGGTATCTTATATACGCCAGATTGTTGTTCCTTCTTGATCATATCCTTCTCATTCCTAAGCGAGTTAAAAACAGTGGGAGCCCTTTTGTATAGTAATCTTGTGTTCTTGTAATCTGCAATTTCTTTCATAATATTTGACATGTTGCTCCAACGTATACGACAGGCTGCAAGAGTTAGGTAGGATTAAAGCTGTGGCTAGGATGTTGGGGTTTGGAGCAAAAGTCGTTGAAGGATTAACCTGATGATGGCCAGTTGATCAGGTTGAAAACTTTATAGTAGTAAAAATGATTCTCAGCAATAAGGTGTATGTTGTATAATAGTCTTTAGAACGTCTGTAAACCTAAACAAATATATAAAATTCATAACTTTAAATATAACAGCATATTAAATATATTTGATGATCGTTCATACAGTCGACTTTGAGTTAGTAACTACTTTCATATTATATTCTGTTAGTTATATGCGAAAATAGTATGCAAACTTTATAGTAGTAAAAATGATTCTCAGCAATAAGGTGTATGTTGTATAATAGTCTTTAGAACGTCTGTAAACCTAAACAAATATATAAAATTCATAACTTTAAATATAACAGCATATTAAATATATTTGATGATCGTTCATACAGNATTTAAAATTATAATTAAGGAACTGTAACATGGTGATAAGGGATCTGCCTTCTATCAAATAAACTAAATTTGAAATGTAAGCATTACTAAATATTAGTATCAGGGTCATCAAATGCTGGTCTTATATATAAATTAAATATTTCATTAAATAAAACCTTCAAGGACAAATTTAATTAAAAGTTCTATAAAAGAAACACACTCAACAATAAACCAAGACATGATACATATTAAAAGTTTTGGTTAAAAATAGCATTTTTACATTCTATCCTTTCTCATGCCTTAGGAACCAACAAAGTTGCATAACCGAATTCAATTTTTTGTTGAGGGTTAAGGTTCTTTACCTCAATTCTTCTTCTCCATCTTCATCTCAGAATAAGGCCAGCCTACCAGTGAACACAGGTAGTTGGGTTTGTCTTGAAAATAGACTAGCTATATGCTTTTTTATAATTTTCTTTATATGACTAACACCTAAATGGGAATAGTAACTCATAGAAGTCCATCCAGCAGTCATCATCCAAATGTTACATTGCCAAATCCAGAGAAATGTTAACTCCATCATGTGATTTTGTTGATTCATAAAGTATGAAAAAGGAAATAATATATTCAATAGATATCTTTTCAATAAAAATGTTGTTCATATGTAACATGTTTTGGCCTTGGGATTGTTCCTTTTATAGAATTTAAATAATTTTATTTGCTACGATATTATCAAAACTCGAGTAATTTAATCACAGTTTAAATTCCTTCCTTCTGCTTCTGAAACAACAGAGCCAATTCTTACGCCTGTATTTCTGTCCACGCACCAACGCATTGAATTGTGGTCTTGAATAGGAAGATAATACCCACTTCCGTCGCAGGTAGGCACATAATCCTCACCTGCACATTAAATAACATATATTTATATATAATACATGAAATGAAAATAATTCCCTCAAAAAATAAGTAACTTACCTGATTGCATGGCATTGTATTTCGCTAAAGGACAGTGGCAAACTTCAATTTTTGTGGAAGGTCCTAATACTACGTCACCATCTTTATCAAAACACCATCTCCAATGAGGTGTGCCTACCGTTTGTTGAAGTGGCATATAATTTCCTTCTTCGTCACACTCGTGAATTACAAAGGGTTTTTCTTTCTCTAATTCTCTTGCTCGAGATCTCTGGCAAGCTGAAAATTTCAAATTTTCTAAATGTTATAATTTTAAAAGGGGTAAACAACCGGATGGCCAAGCGGATAAACTAACGATCTACCGCCCTGGGGGGAATTAGGGTCGAATCAAAAATACACCAGGAAATTTTCGGGGTGTTCCATCCGGATATATCGGGCCGTTCCTTACCAACCTCTCTCCCCATTGTGGGCCCGGCAGACCCCATAATGGGCTTGCTATAAGGTAGTCTTCTTGGTGTCAACAGGGTGGAGGGTTTAAAAAAATAGAAAAAAAAAAATAATTCGCGAAGACTCACCTGTCTCTCCTAATGCCATGATCATCATAGAAGATAAAATCTGTAATAAAGTTTTATGAAAAGGACTGATACCATTATAATACGTAATGAAAATGTCACTTACTGCAATTATAAGAACCCTCCTCATTTTCTGTTATCCCAAAACAAAAGTTGTAGAAATTCGATTGAAAATTCGTTCGAGTTGAGCTTCTCTCACTTAGTTTCCAGGACTTTCGACTATTTATACAAGTTCTTTATCGTTAAGATCCAATCTTTTTTTAAACACAGCATCACGCTATCTAATATTTGTCGTCATTCTCATCGAAATTTGTGTACTGTACGTCCTTCGTCTATTCCGATATCCGAAATCGGTATTATTTAGAATAAAAGATGAATTTGAGAAACATTTAATTTCCATATCCGCACAACTCTACGTAACTTATCGTATTCATTTATATTAAATACACCAGAAATCTTATCATCAAAATTTCAATATTTCACTTGTTCTTGACAGAAATTATCCATGTATAATCTTCACATTAAATAGGAATTACATGTAACCATATGTGAAATAAATAAAAGAAATGGAATTAAGCAAATTTGTTTTGCATGTAAAATGTTAATTAAATTAAGATTGATTGTAGTAGTTAACAAGGTGTTAAAAGAAGCATTTAGCATGTATTTGATAGATAGTAAAATATTAACAATTTTGTATCTTGGTATCATCAATGTCTTATTGAGTCTTCTTACCTGTTGCATGCAATGTATAAAGAGATAATAATCTTGCCAAATCTTTACATTAATATTTACAGATGATTGTTCATGTCCTCCTATTTTCATGCAAGCTCGGGGCATCTTACAGTTACATACAGTAAAAAATTTCAGGCCTTTGGTTGAACAGTTGACTTTTTGACCTAAATTTATTACCTATAGGATTATTTCTATCTATCATATATATGCTGAATGCTTTTTTTATAGGTTATATACATATTGTTATCTATTTTCTGTTGAACACTCCATATCTCTAGCTATTTATCTGCGTCTCCAGATAAATGTCATTAAAACCATATGGTCTAGGCACCGGATACATATGAGACCTCCAAAAGTCAGTGTAATATGCAAAAATCATCTACATTGATATAAATTAAAGTTTATCTTGATAACTGATAACCTACATTTGTGACCATCTCCATCTCATTTCTTGCTTCTATCAACACCTAGTAAATTCTTGTAAATCTATTTGATATATATACAACTTATAAACAGAATAGTATGATATGTACAGGATGATTTGTATTATTACATTATAATAATACAAATCATCCTGTACAAATGTATTAAACATAACTTTACCATATTCCAATTTTTTTATTATATTTACATAAGAATTATCCTCCCTAATTTAATTCTGTAATTACAACACAAAGTTTTCAAAAGGACTATTTTAATTTTCATTTCTATTCAAAATAAAACAAAAACTATAATTTTAAAACATGTCATAAATGATCTGGCAAATCTATAATTATTCTTACATGAATAAATTAATCTGGAATAACTGATATATTCTTAAACTATTTATTATATTATAATTTAAAATAATCTATTCTAATATATATATATAAATTAATTACATTTGCAACATTACCAAATTTAAAATTATAATTAAGGAACTGTAACATGGTGATAAGGGATCTGCCTTCTATCAAATAAACTAAATTTGAAATGTAAGCATTACTAAATATTAGTATCAGGGTCATCAAATGCTGGTCTTATATATAAATTAAATATTTCATTAAATAAAACCTTCAAGGACAAATTTAATTAAAAGTTCTATAAAAGAAACACACTCAACAATAAACCAAGACATGATACATATTAAAAGTTTTGGTTAAAAATAGCATTTTTACATTCTATCCTTTCTCATGCCTTAGGAACCAACAAAGTTGCATAACCGAATTCAATTTTTTGTTGAGGGTTAAGGTTCTTTACCTCAATTCTTCTTCTCCATCTTCATCTCAGAATAAGGCCAGCCTACCAGTGAACACAGGTAGTTGGGTTTGTCTTGAAAATAGACTAGCTATATGCTTTTTTATAATTTTCTTTATATGACTAACACCTAAATGGGAATAGTAACTCATAGAAGTCCATCCAGCAGTCATCATCCAAATGTTACATTGCCAAATCCAGAGAAATGTTAACTCCATCATGTGATTTTGTTGATTCATAAAGTATGAAAAAGGAAATAATATATTCAATAGATATCTTTTCAATAAAAATGTTGTTCATATGTAACATGTTTTGGCCTTGGGATTGTTCCTTTTATAGAATTTAAATATTTTGTATTTTCTGGTTATTGAAATTAACTAAATTCCTTTTTAATTACATAATGTTATATGATATTAATTACAAACATAATTGATGTAACAGTACAGTTTGGAATTATTTAAATAATATTTTCCTATTATTATTGCCATTTTGTCAAATAGATACAAGTAATTATTTATTTCATATATTTTGTGAATGTAGATGAGTATGTAAATGAGAATGTAATTCCTTATGTTTAAAATATATTCTCAATAAAAATGCTTTAATAATGCTACTCAATTAACAGAATACTTGTAGTTTTTTGGGCTGCAATTTGAAAAAATTGCAGACTTATAAATTTCCACTATCGTTTGTCCATCTGTTTCTCTCTCCTTCCTTAATCTCAAAAATGGAGTTAGATACATGAAAGTCAAAACCAAATACAGAAAGTTTAGGGGCAGGAAGCTCCTATTAACTATATATAAACTTCTAACACAAACTAGAAATCCCATTATTTCAGCTCAAAACTTACCCTGAAAGGAGTTAATAGATGACCAGCATGAATCTATTGCTAACAGAAAAGTATAATGTACAGTGCAAGACACTACTAATTTGAGGTGGAGAGCATATAATTTAAATTGAAAGTACTAAGGTAGTTAATCCCTGTTTCTAGTTATATTCTAACAAACATAAAATCCACTTTAAATGCTATGTAACATAAAAGCTACTATGGGGTCTATATGACCCAAACATAAAAAAATACAAAAAGCAATGAATCTGAAAAATTGACCATTTTCATTTTGAAAAGTGTCTGGGTCGAAATTACCCCATGGTATGTGCTATTGGAGCTGGAATTGTGCAACTGTTGGCACTAGACATGCCCTCCAATAGAAACTTGTTAAAGAATTTAGATTGTACCCCATTCTAATTATTGGTACCATTATTCAAACAGTATGCCTGCTTTGAGCACAAATTTTTTCAAAGTAAACATGCCAGACACCCAAGACACTCTGCAAAGAGCATCATAGGAATCCGACCAAAAGTTGTTGTGATTAAAAAGATCAAAGTTGGATCTCAGATTCAGACTAGTGATCTAACGCCCGGTGGTTATTATTGGGACTGGACGTTTGGCTGTATTCCATTTATGTTCTGTGCAGTGTGTCTTGGGTGTCTGGAATATTTACTTTGAAAAATCACCCCATTATCTGACAAAGGTAAAAAAAACAAACAAACAACATCTCATATTGATCTCATGACACTCTACAACCTCTGTAATTTAAATTGCTGTTTTTCATAATACCTGAGACAGAATTTATCCCCATGCAAAGTGGGTTGGAGTGCAATTACCTATAATCTAGTGTATCAAATCAATTGTATTTAGTTATTACATTGCACAAATGAGAAAGCATCCTGCAATGTAAGTGTTTGCACTTTAAATTCTTAATAAACTTTTTTATCTATCTCTCTCTTTCTGTGAATTCAATTGCAAAAGAAAATTCTGTTTACATTTTGTATTAATAATATTAATAAACTTCACTCCATATTTTGCTCTGTCCAAAGATTGTGTTTCAAAATATTCACATTCCTGTTTTACATTTTAATTAATACTGATTTAATAAATATTAAATGAAATATAAAACTTGATTTTCTTTAAATAATTAGATAAAATGGAAGAAAGTACATTAGGAAGTTATCAAATAATTTCTTTTTCTTTTTAATCTTGACCTTAACACTTAAGTCAAGAGGCCAAATATATTTTGCAGACTATTCAGTTTGATCAAAGTTCAGTTGAGTTTAGACTAAAAAAACGAGAGATAATAATTTATTGCTAGGCACTATATATAGCTATTTTTCCACATATATACTCTCCAAATTAAAATTAAATTTATCATAAAAAATTTTTTTTTAAATATCAGTCATTATTTTGAGTAATTACCAATTTTATAAAAGGTAATGTGACTTGTATACAGTATACTGACTGTTTGTAACTATTGCTTCTTTTACCATAATTTTTATCAGATTGGAAAATGTTAATAAAATTAAGAAACATTCAAAATTTTTAAAAGGTTATACATTGAAATTGTATTGTTTTGCAATTATTAATATAATTCCAGTAATATAAATAAATTTTTATACAGCTAAATGTTGAAAAAATATTTATTTAAAAATGTTTTGCTTATTGTTAAATGTTGTAAATGTTATGTATTTACACCAGAATAAATATTATATACATTTACTAGCATTTACTTTCTAGAACATTTATTATTCCAGAAAATAATCTCTCATTATTCTGAAATATATTCTTATCATTGCAGATATTCTCTAAAATATTTAAGCTTTTATGCAAAAAACTGAAAATTTTCTAGTCTTATTAATAAAACAGTAGTTATCCTTATAGGCTATCCATTAATTATATGTACAGCTTTTAAGCTACTTTTCAACCCTTTCCTCACTGTTTTGTACAATGATGTACTTTTGGCAAACCCATTTTAATTACGTGTACAACACATAATTAGAAGGGGTTTGCCAAAAGTACATGTCCCTGATATTGAAGAAATTACTTAGAAAAAGTTCTGCAAATATTTTCTAACTGATAGTTTAATCAATGACAAGCAAGTAGGTTTATAAAAACAAATACATAATGCCACTAATATCATTAAAACAAGTAAACGATTCATGTAACTCCCTCCCTTCTAATTGTGTATATTGATAACTTTCTGTCACAGTCCTTCTCCTCAAACTGTAAACATAACTGCCTACCAGTGGCCAAGTGGATGATAACCACTGAACACTGGTAATTGGTTGTGGATTTGCACCTTGCCAATGGGCTGAGCACAAAGTTTTCCAGATTTATTCATGTTAGTAATGCATAGTACAGAAGTGATTTGTTTAATGATGTGCCAGGTTTTAAATATTTTAATGAGAAATTAAAAAATGTTTGACTTATTGTTTTGATGGTGATTATATATTCTCGACATAAAAAATTGTAAAGTTTTTATATGTTTACATTATGTTTTATCTAATAAAAATCTTGATCTATGTAAGAGCAGATATATATAACATTTATAAAGATGTATTTTCATTTATAAATGTGGATGTGTATGTTGTAAAATGTGTTTTGATATACATGATTCCATTTTAAATAGAATATAGAACCCAAAAAGCAAATGCTTGACTGATTATAGATAGGATCACAAAAAGTTTTTGTTAATACCCAAGGAAGATCAGTGTAAAATTTCTAGGTTAAAACAGCATTCAAAGCTGTAGATTATCATAATTTGGGAGACATTTTTTTTTATCTTCTAGTTTTTTTTGTCTTTTTAATTTGATAATCTGAGGCAGACTGCTAAAGAAGACTGAAAATATTTGTTTTATTGCAAAAATTTGCTGAAAAAAGTGAGGAAAGTATTGTGGTTTAATAGAAAAGTCTTAGCTTTCAGAAGAATCTTCACTTGGACATAAATGTTTGTCCATTATTGTTTTAAACTAAAATTTTGCTGGAGTTTTCTCTGATTTCAAGTTCCAGTTAGATATATTTTTCCATACTGATTATAGGAGTCTTTGGTATGTGCAGATGCTGGGCTGGCCAAAGATAAAGCAGAGCTGGTGCAAAATTCTAGTGCAGAGCCTTATAGAAAAAGTCAAGCAGAATTTTTTTGTTATTAGACAGTTAGTTAAGCATTTTTAAATAAAAATAAAACTGAATTTTAACATAAAAAACAAGACAAATAGTTTAGTTAGATAGGATATGGCAATACAACACATGGGTGATTTACTTGGGGAATTCCTCTCATATGGACACTATGGAAAACTGACCCCTATTTAGATGGTAATTAAATTACTTGATTCTGTTAACCAATAGATAGTAATTAAAGAAGATTTTTGGCTCCATATCAAATCTTGTGATTTAATCTTTTAAATGCAATGAATAGTTACAGAACAAAATTTAAAATCACTTGGGATATATATACATTTATGAAATAAATGAATATAAGAACAATTTTAAAATAACACATAGATATGCTATATTAAAATTATTTGTTTCTGCTGGCTAGCAAATAAAGCAATTTAATGTGTATTTATTTACTATTCATACTAAATATTTAGTTACTAGATTAATCTCTTGTATAATAGTGCAACTCTTAAAAAGCACAATGATGGCTGCCTTAACCACTTCAGCCATCATTCAACTGAAATTTCTTCCACTTTTAATTAACTCAATCATTAATATTCTATATAATCAGTATAATAAAAAGGGAGAAAAATTTCGTTTAAATTCATTAATTTATGGAAATTCATCAGTTATTTATAAAACAGAGTAAATAAATTACATAAAATAAGCAAAATATAAATCAAAAAACTTCATTAAAAGCAATTTTTTTATTAAATCATAATAAATTAATATAACAATAGCCTTCTTTTTAATCTAAGAAAACAAACTGTATCTTAATTATAAACAAAATATTTCAATTCAATATAGTTTTGATTAAATGTTATTCAAATTTGTGTGTCCTCTTCAATAGTTTCTATGAGAATAATAAGCAAATATATCTAAATTTAACAGTCATCATTTTACAAAATTAATAACTATAATGATAAGGTTCTTTATATTACAGTGGAAATCACTAATTAGAACAACACTGACCATTACTGTACAATTCTCACAAAATATTATTTATCTTCGCTTCCCTTTTTCTTTCAATTTCTCTTTGTTTTTTCTCGTTTCTAATTCAATTTTTTGTTGTGAAGTTAAATTGTTTAAAATTTTGGTTATAATGCCCGTTCCGAGAGTGCCAGTTCCACCTCTTAACGTAAATCTTTGTCCTTGCTCCAATATCATTGGTTTTATAAGGTGTAGTTCTACTCTACATAAAATTAATTAAAAGATTAATCAATTCTTGAAATATATTTACAATAAAATATTATGCATTATGTATCAAACTACAGAAAATCTTGTTTAAATTCAAGACTCAAATCTATTTTGTGATATTTAATAAAACTCCATAAAAATTTATTGGTAAATATTCATAGTTGGAACTTCTAAAACTTAATCTTGTTTACAACAAGAAATTAATAACCAAGTACAATACAATTAAGCTACTGTTTCCAAAATACTAGAATTAATTAACACATTGAATATATGATATTTTCAATAGTTCTTTATATATATGCTATGAGACATTTACACTTACAGTACCCAGGTGGTAAAATTTGGAAGTTAGTGCTCCTATCACACAATGCATGATACAAAAAAAAAAAATGTCAATTACAAAGTTGTACATGACTGGATTTAGTAAAAAAAAAAAAAAAAGGCATCCTCTGTACATAAATGGTGTGAATTGAAACCATGAAATGCTAATGTGCATGTCAAGCACAGATATTAAAATGTATTTCTCATTTCGTATGAGAAATACACTGTGCTGCATTCATTACTGTGTGTATTATGTTGTACATCACACACATTAATACATAAAAACTACTATGTACTCTGTATATTAAAATTACTAAACATACAAATTTTAAACACATATAAAATAGTCAAATATATATTATTAGAATGTATGTTTATTTGTTATATATATATATATATATATTACATTTATACACATATATATATATAAATGGACGTGTGTGTCCCTATATTTCACTTTTCAGCCAAAACTACACATCGCATGTGAATGGTGTGTATGTGGTAGTAGCCCCAAGTCTCCATTCGTGCACTATGGTGTTGTGTCTCGATAGCTATAAGGGGGCGGGAAATGTGGGCTTGAAAGTGGTTGAAAGTGGAAGATTTTCTAATTCGAATTGGTTCGATTATAGAACAATTGTAAACGTTCCAGAAAATTGATCAAATTGAAAATAGTTCGTTTGACTGGACGTAAAAATTCTCTAATTAGTCTGGAAACGGGGGACCTAATTCTTGCATTCTGTGAAAATGGGTAAGATTGACTATAATGTAATTATCTTAATCTTCACTATCATTACTTTTTGCCCACAAATAAAAACCCAGCAAAGCGGGTCCTTGCAGCTAGTATATATATATAATGTGGTAGAGTCAAAAATAAACCAAAATTTTCACGTTATATTACATAGTCTTCTGTAAATACTTGTATTATTAATGTCCAAAAAAAGCATCTTCTGTTAGCATCCATACTATTATCAAAGCTATATTTTTTGTGATATTTTTAAAAGGTTCTAGTCACTGAGCTTCTAACTTAACATTCTTGGTCAGGGAATATATATCTGGCCAAGAAAAGTATAACAGTGCTTTCCTAATAACCTTACTCTCTTGATTTTCCTCTGCAGACTTTTATTTCTTTTCTAAAATAAAAGATATTGAAGAGATGTAAATTCCACTAAGCAACATAGCAGGTGCCACAGAAAAATGGCTTCCATGACTGCTTTGACAAGTTTTATAGATGCTGATAGAAATGTGAAGGTGCATAAAGTGCTTACTTTGAAGGTAGTGTGGTGTATGAATTTCTGTAATTTGTTTAATAAAAACTGTGCTAAAAATTCAGTTTATTTTTGATTGTGTTATGCATTTGCTTATATACAAAAATGGTCTTTATACATGTATGTTTATTATATTATTCATTATATATCTATAATACTAAATCAGTGTCCAATAACAAAAAAAATAATTTTTTAAATGCAGCTATTTGGATTAAAAGCTTCTTTGAAGCATTATTTTATGCATTTACACCTAAGCTGATAAGTTTAAAAGTAATAGGGACATCAACTGTTGTGTGTATTTATGATATTAAATTCTCCAATAGAGAACATGTTCAAATTTTAAGAATTAGAGGAGATTAAAAAGGTTTGGAGCTAAACTTTTCTAATATTTTTAATAACTATTTTATTATTATTTCTCATCTAAATATGTTGGCCACATGAGTGATGACAGGCCACTCCACAAAAAGTTCATGGGGTTTTCAAACCCCTCAAGAGTAGATCCTGGGTTCTTCAGAATGGTAGACTACTATCTTAACCATTTAAACTTCACTTTACATTTAAATAATTTGTAAGTTTATTTGTTAACTTCTGCTTCTAAATAATTATACCAATATTTTCACGATAGTCATAATTTTATCAAAACAATAATTTATTCAACAAGTCAATTAATTCTACTAAAACAAGCTTAATTTTTAAAATAATAAAATCAAATAATGAAACTCAAATTTCTCAAATTAAAAGAATTTCTCAAATTGAAAGAGTACGAGAAAAAAGGTTATTTTGTAACCCAATGACTAAGTCAAAAACTATATATCTACCAAGTATAGATCTAACACAAAGAAAAGACTTTTAATTATTTTATATTATTAAGCAGGCACTTTAGTAGTCTTCCAGAAGAAATTCAGCACTGTTTTTACCTGTTAATAATGCTTCTGTTTGACTACCATTATTGGCGTGTTAATATCTTTAGTAATGATTGATTTTAAACTCTTTTCATTTTGCAATTATTAAATGAGCTTTATTCATGCCCATTATGGATTTATCCAGACCTAATGGATTATCTAGCTGAAGGAAGGACCAACGTATCTGCATAAAATTTCTGAGGATCTGATTGAGGTTGAAAATTCAAGTTTTTAAACAACAGGCTAATACTTTTATTTGGACACCCACTGGCCAAGACCATTCTCAGGAGGAGACAACAGGAACAATTGCTCCTCTTGGGATTTGCTTTATTTTTATAAGCAAAGATGTTTTATAAGAGTAAATTTATTTTAACAGTTGTTATACTGAAATAACTATTGACTGTGCACAAAAAGGTGGCCCTTTCTGTCTTCTCCTTAAAGCCATACAAGTTGTATTATCTGGAAGACTTCATGACTTTTTTGGGTAGTTTGAGTTCTCTCATATTTTTACATCTCATTTTCATAATTTAATGATTATTATTCACTCTCATTACATTAAAGTACAGTAGAATGTCAATTATCCGAAAGTCAATTATCTGAAAGAATTCCAGTCGGCAAATTTAAATTCTCGCCAGTACTGTGGTGCTGCAATCTTTGGCTATGTCTTGGGCTACTCAAATATTTTATTACATTTTTGATACTAAATTAACTTCTGAAATATAATAATTTTTTATTGTTTTTATATTTTTCAATATATTTATTTTGTTTGTACAAAATAAAAAAATAATTTTTAATGATACAATAGTCTTCGTTAGGCTTAACATCAACAAAAATTCAACGTGAAGCGACATGCAACGGAGAAAAATTTCAACATGGGATAGGTTAATATATTTTTTCGTATAATATCGGTTATCCGAAATATCAATTTTCCGAACAACCCCAGTCACGAATTGATTCGGATAATCGACGCTCTACTGTATAATCTGTTTAAGAAATGAAGTTTTATTAAATTGACTGGTTAGATGATCTAAAACTGTACAGGTTTTAGCCAAATAATTCTATTGTCTGAGCAGTTGCCAACATTTGTTACTGCTGTCAAAGTATAGCCCATCATACTATACCAACTCAAACAAAGATGGGACTTCAAAAGCAGTTGGAAAAGCAATCAAGAAAATTTGATCTTGACACTAATTGTTGCATTAGTTTTGCTCAGAGTGATAAGCTGACACCTACAATTCTGAGAAATCCTGGATCCTTATTCTGGCAGAGCAACTTTAGAACAATTTTTCATGAACAATCTGTCCCAGATATGTTGGGTCCCATCCCTCATCATCCAGTCACACCATTGGAGGAATGATTGAACCTACAATGGGTATGATTAAAAAGGCCTTCTTTCTGCCCACAGAGCAAAAACAAAAATGAAAAAATATGTAATATAATAATTTTACTGCTTGAATATAGTCACAGTAAATACAAATTACTGTAAATATAATTATTGCAATCGTAATATATAGCATATTTAATAAATACTTACTTAGCATCTTCACCAGGCATCACCATTGTTTTATCTTTAAGTATTATACTAGCAGCACAATCCCATGTCTTAGAAAATATTTGTGGTTTAAATCTAGAATAAATGGGCTGACCACCTTCATCTTTCTCTAAAACATATATCTGAAAGAAAATAAATTTTATTTAAATCATACTTATAGATACACATTCGCTTTGTTAGAATCTACAAACTTCAATACCAACCTGTGCTTCACAGTTGTCATAAGTTTTAAATGCTCCTGGTTTGCATAAAGCCATTCCACGTCTTATTTCATCTCTCTTTATTCCACGCAGGAGAATTCCTAATTGATCACCTGCTTGCGCTTCCTCCAAAATTTTACGAAATGTCTCAAGTCCTAATAAAAAATTTGTAGCTTAAATAAATACAGTAAATCTTTATAAATATATTATAAATTATGGTAAATTTCTAACCTGTTATTATAGTTTTTACATGATTGTTATAACCGATTATTTCGCATTCCATTCCTTTTTTAATTATTCCTCTTTCTAACCTTCCTGTCACAACTGTACCACGACCTACCGATGATAAAAGTAAATAAAAGCCATCACGTTTCAGATCTAAGTTCATGTTAAATGAATTTAAAAGAATACCTTCAATAGAATATACATTTTCTATGGGTAATAAAAATGGTTTATCTAAATCACGAACTGGAGTAGGGATGTATTGATCAGCTATATCCAGGAGTTGGAAAATTGCTTTCTTGCCAATTTCTTCATTCTTTCCCTAAAAAAATTTTACGTGTGTCAATTTATTAACTAAATTAATGAATTTGATTTCATTGCAGGTTATATTATCAAGTTATCATATGAAATTCTAGTTGTTTTTATAGTTAACATTATGCATCATGCTATGATCTTGTCTGTCTGTTCTGTTGCATTGTTACGTTGAGCAAGATTATTATTATTTTGGATCCTTCCCCAGTATCATCAAATCCCTTTTGTAATTTCAATACAAAAGGTGTTAATTTTCTCAATTTTCAGAAACCGCTTTGGAGTGTAAAGGAAGTCTTTAATAAAAACCAGTATAAAGATCTCAATTGATATGGTAAAAATCTGTAGAAGTGGTTCTGAAGGTAATGGATACTATAATAAGATCTTAAAAATACAGAATTAATAGTTTTTATAAATGAAATGAAATGGTGTGACAGTTCCATAAATTTTGCCTGCTGCTCACTTTCATTACTATTGTGTACATCTAAATGTCTTTACCAATATTAATATAAATGATAAATATAAGCTTAAATTCTTGAATTAATGCAACAAATTTTATCTTTTAATAGAAGTTATATTCTTTTGTGAAATAAAATTTATGAATAAAATTTTCTCCAATTTGAAATAAAATAAAATATAATAAAATTTTCAATTAATATCACCAATTGGAGAAAATTATTCTCTTAAACTTGATGCTTTTTAAATACAGTAGAACCTCGATTATCTGGACTAATTGAGGATGAAGGTAGTCCGGATAAGGAAAAATTCGGATAATCGAAACAAATACTTTAATTTGTCTTTTAATGATAATACAACACGTTTTCTTTTCGATGACATATCGGTAATATTAAAAGTAAATACTGTATTTAAATTGTGATCAAATTTTCAAGAAGCAAACGTTCATATTGAATTTGGACTACTATTGACCAACGCTAACTGACTAACTATTGTTTAAAAGGCCCTCTGGTGGCGCAAGAAGACCAATTTTATAAAATAAGCAGTTGAAACTGAATTTTTATGAATAAAAATTTGACAAACTATTTATCGTTTTATGACAAGTAAAATTTTTTCTTTGCGTTTGTGGCTTTTAAGTAATGCATAAACCTTCAAAACACGAGGCCCTTCGAAACGCAAGGTCCTTCAGACTGCGAGGCATAGGCGGTGGCCCACATTGCCCATGCCTTACGCCGCCCTTGGTCATAGAAATGATGTAATTTGAAAAAAAAATTATTTATAAATACGTATGTCAAGTTATATTTTTATTACAACGCAAAATATATTTAAGAGTTTACGGCCACTGTGCTGGGTGAGACGTTGTAGAAACAAAACAAGTTATGCATTCCATCATGTACATAAACAGTATCGTAATTCGCCAAGTGCAAATCAGCAAATTTGTAAAATTTTTGTTTATTTTGAACAATCCGGATAATCGAAAATCCAGATAATAGAAGTCCAGATAATCGAGGTTCTACTGTAATTGGAAATTGTCAGCATCCTAGAATTTTATTATTGCTTTTCCTAAAAGTATAATTATAAAATACTGTTTATACTAAACATAAATAAATGAAAAATATATTACCTGAAGAGCATTTAAAGCTGATCCAATAATTACAGGAATATCATTTCCAGAATAACCTATCTCTGTCAACAATTCTCTTATTTCTAATTCCACTAATTCCAATGTTTCTGAATCCACTGCATCAGCTTTGTTGATGAACACAATTATATGATCTATGCCTATCTAAACAATACAATATATAAGAAATTTGTAAATAAAACAATATATTTAAAAATAAATTTCATTTAGGGTCTAAAATCTGAAATTTTTAAAATTCTACTAATCTTGTAGACATTAAGAAGAATTTTGTTTCATATCTATCATAGGTTTGACCTTACTTGCAATGGAATGGCTGGTTGGTGGAGAATAAATTCTAACACATTTACACCAAGCCCACCAGTGACCAAATGAATAACACCACTGGTGGCTTAGTTAAGCCAAAAAACTCCTATGTGGATAATCCATTGCTGGGGTGTAAACCCATGACCAACTACCAGTGTCCAATGTCCAAATGGATAACTCCACTTGGTTCACAGGGGTCGCAGGGGAATTTTCTGGATTTTCTTTATGTATCTAACTTACAAATAGAGCCAATTTCCCATCGAAAGTCCTCTTGGAAGGCATTCCACCTTGGCAGATTGCCCAAGACATTCATCAGGTTGATGTTCAAAAAATCAAACATTTACAAATACTAACAGAAATATGCAAATGATAAATACAGTAGAATCTCATTTTAACAGACACTCAGGTTGCTGAACATCATCCGTTGTTTCAAGAACCCATTACATCATGTATAACAGATTTTCCACACATCCAGGAATTTATCCATTATTCAAAAATATTTCCGTTTTTTTAACCCTACATATAAGAAGCACTAGTACTTGAAATTATTCAGTCTACTAAAATGTAGAAGACACTGAGGTCAGCGTTACATGCAATGCTGACCTGAGTGTCTTCTACATTTTAGTATACAATATTTGGCATGAAAATCATCATATTCAGTCTTTTGAAATCTCTATTCTTTATTCTATAGAAACATGTATGTTACAAGATCATATATTATGCCATACGTGTGTACAACAAAGTTGATGGAAACTGTATACTGTATATTGTAAACACAAAAAGAGATGAATTACATATGCTCATTAGCACTTCACTTGCCTTCATAATTCGTAAAAAATCGTGTCCATCTTGGTTTATTTTCATGCCACTTTTCAGCCTATTGAGTCAAATAAATGTTTCATCTTAAGGCTGTTATACACGTTACGGAAATCCTTTGAGGATTAACCGTGATTTTTTTTCTATCTATCCACCTTTGAATAAAAATAATTCTTTATACATTGGGAAATATTTTAATAAGTTTTGTAAATTACTATGTTCGATCCAGCCAGTTATATCCGATTTTTTTTCGTCTGTTAAGTACATCCTTTGAGGATTTCCATAACATGTATAACAGCCTTTAGCAATATCATGTACTGTACAATCTGTTCATTTATGCTGAAACTTGTCAGGAAGGTCTTCATGACATGGAAAGACTCAATGGCCTCACTAAATTTTGGCATTATATTTAAAACAGTGTCAAAATGTTCACTAGGCAGCTCCTCCCAACTGTATCAACTTGCTGATTCTCTTCATACAATTCTTCAATTGTACGTATCCAAGATGTAACAAACAAGTGCACCATTAAACTCTACAAATTCCTGGTAAATCTGAATATTAATGGAACGTTGAAAAGATGCAAAGTTTACAATAAATGCAGCTAAAAAAAAATCCATTATTCTGCTACAGATCCACTAAAAGAAGGTAAAATTACATTGATTTGGCAGGACTTGGGAAAAAATCCATTATTCCAAGAAATCTGTTGTTCAATGATCCATTAAAATCTGATATAATTATTATTAATATTATTACAATCTGCCTATATTGCTGTGACATGTGCAAAAAACTAAAAGACAAAAAATAATAAAAAATAATGGTCATAAAATGTATGTCTATTTTGTTATGTTATGTACACCTCAAAGTATCATTTATAACAATTTACTCAAAATCACTCTCACAATGTTATGAAAAATCATTACGAAATAACATTCTTTCTTACATTTATATAAAGCGAACAGTATATGATGAGCATAGTCACAAGAATCATAGTATGTACAGTACTATTGAGCATCTGTCTAGACACTCCCGTCATTAGATTCAATAGATTGTGCTGCAGATATTGAAGAATTAAGCTTATTTAATGACTATTATTATTTATATACTGGATGATTTTTATGTTTATTTTTTTCATGATTTTCTAGCTTTAGGTTAAGTTTTATCATATTTATGGTTTTCATTAACTTGTCAAACATTATATCATGATTTCAGTTCATTCCATTACCTATAAATCGATCCCAACTATTTATAAATCTATAAATAACCCTAGTCCTCTCGATGTATAAGACATCGAGAGGACTTGATCCAAGGCTAGAACAATTACATCTCACATCCCAAACCTGAATTGGCACATTCATACATCATTACACTCAACAGATTTTATTATAAAATCCCAAATTTTATTGGCAGAACTTCTGAGTTCTGTGGAACACAAGTTGGAAACCCTGCTTTAGAAAAACACAGTGATATCTTTCCTATACTTTTAAATGCATTTCATCAAAACAAGAAATGTTATCCATACTAATGTGCATTGATTCTTACTGACATCACAATAAATAAATAAAACCACTTTTCACATAATATATATTAATTAGCCAAATTAATAATTTGATAACTAAACTGACCTGTTTTGCCAAAATTAAATGTTCTCTTGTCTGTGGCATAGATCCATCTGTAGCAGCAATAACTAGTATGGCTCCATCCATTTTTGCTGTTCCAGTTATCATATTCTAAAATTAATTTTTCAAAATTAATGCAATTTATTCCATAAAATTAAAACTGATTGTGTGAATTATTTTAATTATATTCCTTAAATTTTAGGTTTTTATCATACAATACAACTAAGTTATAGCTTGGCATATAAAAAATATGCTTCTTTCCAAGTCCAGAATATATGGGATATTCAACATCTTGTCTGGAACTTGTTACCGGTGCATTCTGTGAATAATTAAAGCTTATCATTAATGTTTCGAACTGTTGAATAGTTCTTCTTCAGGTGAAATATACCGAATAACCAATGGAACACAAAATTAGAATGTGAATATTCAAATTAAATCGAACATATGCCTGATGAAAGATGTTACAAAGGGCATGCACATTTCGTGTGTAGATGATGGCCATTAAAGGTCGACGTCCATAAGGACCTGCCATGCAACTGATAAATTTAGCTCATCTTTTTGGGTGATGCATGGGGCGTTGTGGCTTGCTCTATAAATAGATATGGCCTCCAACCATCTTATGTGTTCAGGGTGAGGCATAGTTAGGATGACCTTGGCTTGGTTAAATGCGGTCTCGATATCAGGGTCAGAGGCATAAATAGCAAGGACCATGTTGTATCTCCCATGCTGAAGGTCTGCCCAGTGTCCGCGTATTCCAGTTGCTAAGGAACGTTTCTTGGATCCAATATAAATAAGGTCCCTGTCACATCTGTTGTCCTTAAGAGGTATGGAGTAAATGCCAGAGAGTCTTTCCCATTGTGGAGGATGTTAAAGATTGTCGGACATCTCCTGTACATTATCCACATGTGGTGTTTGTTGGCAATTTCAGTATACAAAGATTTAATGTACCAATAATTATTAAATGTAACAGGGACATGAGTTTCACTGTCTGGTCCATTGTCGGTGGTTGTATGGGCAGAGGATGCATGCAGTGAGCGATGGTAATGCTCAATCAAATGATGGGTCAGATTAGGGTAGCTGTGTTTGGCTGCAATCCTCTTAATGTGAGTTAATTCAGTGGCTAGAGCTTGTGGGGTAGACAAATGAGAAAATGCCCTCCTAACCAATGCATTAAATGCCGCTGTCTTGTAAGGGAATAGGTCACATGAACCTATAGGGATAGAGGCCGCACAAGGTTTGTGGTATACCAATGTGTGGACAGTTGACACTTCAACTTTAATGTTTATGTCCAGGAAGTAGATCTCTGTGGTATTAGATTGTTCAACCTCCATGGTTAAGCCATAATAATTGTCATTAACAGTTTGTACGAATGCCATCAAGTCTGGTACAGTCTTCCACAAAATGATGATATCATCTATATACCTCTTATATAAAAGATTGTTGGGAGGTATTGTGGAAGGATCTTGTGTTATAAGTGTCTAATAACCATTTCGCAAAGGTCCCCAGATACTGGGCTACCCATGGAGACCCCCTTTTCCAGGGAACATAAAAATAAAATTGTAACAAATCAGATGGGCCATCTCCAACACCTGTTGGTGTAGGGCAAGAGTGGCCAACAGTTTTTGCCTCTGGGCCGAATTGGAAAGAAAACTTTTTCCACAGGCTGAACCAGAGGCTGTCCTAGGAAGATTTCTGTGGTGCGAGATCTCATGTGGTTTCACCTCGTAGAGACTAAATTGTACATAGAGATTACAGATACATTTTTCACATTATCATGCTTTATCAACACTACGTCGTACTTACGAGATTTGTAATGGAGGGTTAACTCTAAACGCTTGTTGACTCTTTTTTTTTTTTAGGTGTCAGAATTTTTCATCGAGCTATTCAGACTTCAATAGCTAATATTGAAAGATTGATCGCAGGCCATATAAATTCATTAGACGGGCCAGATCTGGCCTGCGGGCCGTATGTTGGCCATGCCTGGTGTAGGGTATGATCTTAGACAATGGCAAGTAAAAGATCCCTGAGAGAGCAAAAGGCTGGAGGAAGCTGCATGGAAGGGTAAAGGGATTTAAAGTCTAAGACTGTGATAAATTGAGATGGTGAGGAGAGTTCCTTTAGAAGGGAGATGAGGTCTGCTGGGTTAGTGATGGTGTAAGGATAGTTTTCAAGGTGGGGAGATAGTAGGATGTGAGCGGCTCTCTCAAGTTTACATGTGGGAACTCTCGCTTTATCCACAACAAGAGGTAGATGGTGGCTTTGTTTGTGAGTTTTGGCAAACACAAAGAGCCTTGGTGTACTAGGGAGTCTACAACTATGTTACCTAATGCTAGCATTTGACCAATTTGGAATCAGTGAATCCCTTGACCCTAGATTGTAGTTTGTCAAACAGTTTTCCTCCACCCTGTCACATTGGACTAGATTAATGTATTCATTTAACCCTTGCTGATATATGCTATGCTTCATCAGGACCATAGATTTAGATTTATCAACCCTGACAAGAGTGATTCCGTTTTGTTGCATCCATTTACTAGTGCGTCTTAATTTGCTCCTTAATTCCACCAACTCAGAAGGTTCCTTAGCTTTTTTAATCTTGAGCATGGTCATCCATCTATAGTACTCTTTTTGTGTGTCGGGAAGGCCCTTTCTTAAGAACAAATTGGGAATGAGGTTTCTAGTTTTGGCCTTAAGAGGAAGAGTTGCAAAGGTTGGTCCGTACCTGAGTAAATATATGAATATTTTTAAGTTTTTGAAGAATATATGGATATTTATAAAACTTAAAAAACATATGGATATTTTTTAAGTTCTTGAAAAATTACTATATGTATATTTTATTGTATACTTATCTATTTCTGACCAAAATACATGAAACAAGCAATTTTTGTAACTCCAGGAACTACTATTTTACCAATAACAAGAAAAGCAAAAGTTTCACACTTAGCCAATTATCAAATTCCTCTGTTCTAATTTTTGAATTCTCATCTTCTAATTCCAAAACTTCAAAAAAATTAAAAAATGTATCACTCAATCAATGACATAGACCCTACAAATTCATTACATCTACATTTTAGTTTTGAAGTTCAGTTATATTATATGATAACTTTGAGCTTTATTTGCTGATTGATACAGAATAAGAATTCATTTTTTTCACTTTTATGCCAATGAGATTAAAACAGATTACATTAACACAGATGTCAAGAGGAAAACGCTAGATGTAGAACCATGAAACCTTCACTGTAACAGTAATTTAAATCATAAATATATTTTAAACTGCAATGATATTTTAACGATTTTAACTGTAAATTCATAATTTTAAACGAAAAAAATATGTATGTAGCAACGAAACCTAAAGAAAATTCCGGATGTAATGCCGATGGATGAGGGTCCTTGCCTGAAACGCATATCAGCCTATGGAAGATTAATAAAGATGATGTAAAATGCCTTGTGTCTATTTATGCACCTAGTAGTGAAGAAAAAAACAAATAAGAATTCATGTAAATTAGTAAATGAAAAAAGTATACTTTTTTTTATCCTATTAGAACTCAACTACATACCTTTTTCTATTTCTTTGGTTACAAATATCCTAATAGAGGCCATTCCTGTTATAGTACTGTATTTTTGTTATAGAAATCACTATTTTAATATACAGTAATTTATAATTATCTCATCTTTATTTTGAGTCATCATCAATAACCATTTAAAACCATAAATGAATTATGTATGAAAGACAGTAATTTATAAATTTTGAAAAAATTAGAGGTTTTTAAATGCTGATAACCATCTTTCTATAATTGAATTTACAATGTTTTGCATAGCTTAAATTATTACAGGAAATCCACATTAGTTCAAAATTCAAGGGATGAAACAATTGCAACTTTGAATTATTAAGTTTCAAATTATCCAAGATTTATATATTTCCGTCTAATATACCAAATGTCATGTAACTGATGTAATTTAACAAGCACATAGAATACAGCTATGCATACAGAATGCTATTTTTGTTAATTAATGATTAAAATATAAATAAAATGCAGATAAACAGCACATGCCATATGAAAACCTCACAGGTAACCAGATAGGTTTTATAAAAAGTAAAGCAGAATTTCTGGAAATGTCACCAAATAAGTTTTAAAGTAGTCCAAAAAGTAGTAAATCATCCAAATGTAGTAGCCTAGAGATCTACAAATATCTCAATCTGTAAGGAACCAAGTCTGAACGTTATTTTTATTTACTTTTATTTTGCTTATTATTCTATTTTTGTTTGGGGCTTATGTTTAGTTAGGACAAAGGTTTACTCACCATTCACCTTAGTAACTTAAAAATAAAAGAAAAACCAGCTCACCGACGAAAGAAAAGCGCCGTAGAAAAACTCGCGCACACTTGCGCTTCCCGAGCGGAAAAAAGTAAGTCCGCACCGAGAAAAGGGGGGAGACGCCACAAGCACGAATTAGGGACTCGCTAAACCTTAAAGAATAACATCCCGAAAATTGTGAAAAAAAATAATGTAAAAGGTTAACGAGTAATTGTCATAAATAGGCTGCCAGAGAAACAAAAAAAGTTTATTGTTAGCGTTAAGTATGTAAATGAGGAGAGTGATCTCATTCAGAATTGTGACGTCACCTCACACTATAAATTCCGAGTCTCAAGTGAAGATGGACGAGGTGAACTCCTGATAGCAACGAGCTTTGGTGAGCTTCGTAGCAGTGAACGAGAGAGGTGTCCGATAGGATCAAATAGTTCCAAGGCGATTTTGAAGTTATTCGATTTGTGGATCGACGATTATAGAAAGTCTTGAGAGTTTGAGGAAATAGGTTCCTAGTATATTGAGGTGACGATTAGGATCTTTAATTTATAAGAAATATTGTTTATAAGTTAAGTCTTTGATTTTTGTCGAATTCCAAAGGGGAATAGAATTAAGTTAGAAATAGATTGATTTGAGTTTGTCGGGTTGATTCTTGTTGAATTTCATTGAATAAATTATTGTTTGATTTTTACTAAATACTGTATATAGTTTATTACTAGAAGTTTAATTAAATATTTGATTTTGTTATTGACAAACTTTGTCATTATTTAATTCGGTGCACGCTTAAAGTCCAGGCCTGGCACACTAACGCGAATCCGCGTAAAGTACCCGTTAGGGAACGGCTAATTCCGGCACACAGTAGTGTCGATAATCGTTGGAAAGTCGGAAAAATAATATAGTACTTTACAAATCTATTACTTGTAGCACAAACTTGCAATTCTGAAAACCTGCTGTATTTCAAGAGATAAGAGTAAAAAGGGTAGTCCTTGTGTAAGGTGACACCCAAAAATATGTTACTGTAAAAGCAAAGCCATATTGACAAATTAGAGTTGTTCTTGGTCTATTGTTCTCTTATAATATGGAGGCACTTCAATCTAAAAGAACAAGTTAGCATATGTATATTACAGTTTAGACATAATTTTCACTTAAATTTTCAAAGTAGCTGTATTTTACACTGAATTCCTTAACATATAAATCTCTATATCCCCAGCCGGGACAAATAGTACAGTCAAACTAATGGGATTTTTAACTATCCAAGTTCAAATTAATGAGGATTTCCTATTGAGCCATTTAGAGTAACAGGAAAAAAAAAAAACAGAATTTATGGTGATGTAGCAGTGTCTGCATCCATAAATTCCTTTCTTCAAAATGTTAAAAACCTATTTTTACTTCTATGCTTTTTATATTTTGTACAAAAGTAAAAGTTTTTTAATAGCCCTATTCTTTTATATAGAAAAATAAGATGCAAATTAGAAAACACCAAGATAATTATGTTTAGCTCTGTCTTTTAGATGCTTTATGTCATTATTATTGTTTTATTAATATTGGACAGAAGATTAGGGAATAATTGTTTTTGAATATTGTCAGATATAAACATCATATTTTAAAAAAATGTTTTATAATTGTTATAGAATGTTGTAAACCTGCTGAGGAGGGGTCTTCGGGTCTAAAACACAAAAAAGAATGTACAGGTGAAAATAAAGATACTTTTGTTTTTTTTTTTACTAATAGTTCCTCCCTTTGCTAATTCAAAACTACACCAGTAGAATATGTCCTTTTTGTAAACAAGATCTAAATGGACAATATGAAAACAAAACAATAACTGATCTATTCAAACCATCACGCAATGAATTTTCATTGAGATATTTTCTAACAGGCCAATCGAAGATACAGTCTCGAGAATAGAAACTTTATGGCTATTCTATACAATAGATAGAGATAACATTACTCAAAGTATGATACATATCTTGTGAAATTTAATCAAAATCCAATTATTGCAATTTTATGTTGCATTGATCATTTTTGAATATAAGCAACATATCATCCACCTACCTTTATATAATCTGCATGTCCAGGACAATCAGTATGACTGTAATGTCGTTTTTCAGTAGTATATTCAATATTCGCAATATTGATGGTTATCCCACGTTCTCTTTCTTGTGGAGCATTGTCGATATCTTCATACTTCCGATAATTGGCAAGATTTTTCTCGGCTAGAACTGTTCATATTTGTTTTAAGTACATATTCTAAAAGGATTAAAAGTAATTCACACCTAAAATAGTAAACGTTACTATTAGGTCCATACAGGTACAAATGCAGCTCTTGACAAGATATAGTATTGATATATAGTACAGTACATATCAATATATATCCTATGGGATTAGTTAGTGCAATAGTGTTTATCACATGTTATGTGTTTTTAGCTGTCTCTAATAAACTGGAAAACAGTTGATTTTTAATATTGTTTTGAGAAACAGTTCCAGGTTTTTCTACTTTTAAATTTTCCATTTTTCACTCTTCAAAATTCCAGATATGTTGATTTCGAGGTCTATATCTTGCAAAGGGTCCGACATAGACCAACTGTTCCTTTGACTTATTTACTCTTATGAGCAAGGTCCACAGCTCTCATAAGGTGGCAATCGACTCATTCTGAGCTACATTTCTACCTCAATACCTACATATTTAGAATAGGAATAACCTAAAAGTATCTTATACTATACAAACTTTACCTTTAGTTATAGCTGCTGTTAATGTAGTTTTTCCATGATCAACGTGACCAATGGTTCCAATATTACAATGTGGTTTAACACGTTTGAAAATCTGTTTTTTAGCGGGAACACTAGCCGTTGCCAAATTTCTACAATATTTCAAGTTTGCAACTTGAAACAATTTGATCAACATTTTATGTCTAAAACACATTATTTCATAGTTTTATATGTAGGTTTTTAAATACAAAAACTGTATTATAATCATTAAATGTTAATAATTATCTAAGAGAGAATACACAAAGTAACAGATTAGTAAACAAACATGTCTTCCACGTGTGAATAGACTAACGCCATCTAACGATTTTAATACATTTTTTAAAATTAATTTGGAAAATTTTTAAACGTTTTTTAAAAATAATTTTTTATAAATAATCTCCATAAAAATTTTTAAAAAAATAAAATATATTTAAAATATTACAAAACGAAGACTAAATACGAATAAAAATTTGATGTCTTCACACGCCCTTACCTACTACAGGAATACAATTTAACATGAGCAGAATCGACCTTTCCTTTGAGGATCTTCTCTGCTTATGAATATGTAAAATTAATTAATCGATTATTCGAACCGTATTTAGTACAATCGTTTCACTCGTACGACACTACTTTTCATAAACTTTATAATTTTTTTTTTTTATTTGCTTTGAGTTAATATTAAAAATAATGCAGAAGGTCTTTAAATGAGCGTGTAATTAACAAAAAACAAACAATTTAAATTAGGAAATAGTACCTCCCGCTTAAGTTGCTACACAAAGCGCGAACGCCCGAAATGTCTTTCCCCATAGACCAACCATTTGCCGCTCCATCACGCCCGAACGGTTGTGAATTTTCTATTTATGATAGCAGTGGACTCACCTACAACACAAGAGCTTTATTTTGATATCCGAACCAGATTCCTACTCTAAGCTGTTGACACCAGACATCTCGTCAGCATGTAAATACAGTAGTCCCTCGATAATCCGACAGGTATGGGACCAAAGGGGTGTCGGATTACCAGAAGTGTCCGGATTACCGAAAATAATTACATATTTCGCATTGTTTTGCTAGCAGTAACTTACAATATTCTCTACTCCAACTGTTCGAACAGAACTGCTCACATAAAACACACGAAATGTGTGTCATCGAGTAAGAATTGGATGGGGAGATTCACATCGCGACATGCTTCTGTGCAAGCAAACAACGTAACGGGGACGGGTACCTTGACGGGAGGTGCGTCGTACTACGGAGCATGTCGGATTAAAAAACGTCGGACTATCGAGGGACAACTGTACTGTATAATAAGAGCAAAGAAGAAAGCAACACAAGCGACATCAGTATTCACGAATACAGGAAATTTTCTTTAAATAAAAAAGTGTGGATAGAATACTCAGTTTAAAAACTAATTTTTAAACATTAATAGGAATTTGAATGCTAATACAGTACTCGTTACAGGATGGCGAGATAACGACGAAATGTAACTTCGGAAGGTATTAAGAGAGGTTGCGGCCGACGTTTTCAACGCGAAAACTTGTACGTCGGACGTTTAGCACCACCTTCCTGTAAGCCTAAAAGTTTGACAATGGCATTTGGAACGTCGATTGTGGCCGCAACTTCTCTATTCTAAAACGATTTATGGAAGAAACGATGCGCTTTTAAGAAATTCGTAGGAGAAAAACCTAACAGACGTAATTGAAATAAAATTTTTAAAATTCGATAAGCCGTTTTGTAAATAAACGGTTTAGAGTTGTAAAACACCAACGGTAAACGCGCCCTGAGCTTAACCAGTAGAGGGCCGATCACATCCTGACCAAAAAAGCGAAAATTGTCTACAGTTTTAAGCAAGATGAAGCGGAAGATGAAAATCGATTCTAAACCGAGAAAAAGGTCTTCTTCTCAAGTAAGAGAAGAAAAATCCGATTTCGTCATTCCAGTAGAAATTGCTCGTAAATGGGTACAAGATTCGATACTGGTCGACAAGTGTCTCACTATGCTGAAGTCAGTGACGAAGGACTGTACTGCTGAGGCTGAAGTGAAACACTTTCAGAACAGTTCGAATCGACAATGAGAACACTCCGAGTGCAAGTTACTCGTGCGCCGCCCTGGTGCAAAATATTTAAATAACACATAGGAGAAAAATCCGAAGGGTTTCTTCTCTACATGAACCCTTACCAAAGAAAGAAAAAAAAAAAGAAAGGGTTTCTTGGTACAGAAAATCAAGTAAAACTTTTGAATTTCAACTTACCAAATTTTAAATGTTTTAATTAATAAAATACAGTCGACCCCCTATAACACTATTGATAATTCAGTTTTATATGAGTTCTATGTTGTACGAGTCACTTAGATTTTACAAATAGGTGAGCCGTTCACAGCCCGGCACACGTATTTGTAAAATCTAACTGACTCGTACAATATGGAATTCATATAAAATGGAAAAATTAACAGTGTTATAGGGGGATCGACTGGTATACAATTAAAAAATAGAACTTTCATTAATTAACTGGAGTGTAATTTTCATCTTTTAGTCAATAATGCCAATTTTAACATGTGGTTTTCAACCAGTCCATACTGACAAATTTTTTACACCTTCGAGATGGAAGAAAGGAATTTACTTGCAAAGGCTAAGTATGTAACTTCAATTAAAGAAATTAAAAACGATGGAGGAAGTACAGTTACAGCTATTTGCTTACTCTAAATGAAAATGAATGAGAAATCATTATACGGTATTGTATTAAGACATTTTTTACATTTAAATTGCTAATTTGCATTTTTTTAATAATTTTAAATGTCTGCATAACCTCTCTGCAATAAACAAACAGGATGATTTGGGTGACAACAAAATTGTATATCGCTACTTTTATTAAGCTATATACTGTTGAATTTTTCTTTAATAAAAATATTTCATACATGTTTTGCGAATTATTTTTAATACAAATTAATTTTCAGTTATCAGCAGATAGAAAAATAGTTATAGCAACGTGTAAGTGCAAGGGAGGTATCTACAGTGTAATCATGTAGCAGCAACGATTTTTGCATTAAATAATTATAAAAACGAAAGTGTTACCAGTGAAAAACAACAATGGGGAATTTTACAACATAAGATACACACATCAGATGGATGTCGCCTTAGTAATTGTGTAAAAGGATAAAAATACCAGCATCGTTATCTTCAAATTCACCAACATTTTTATTTATATAAAAAGAGTAAAACATATTAACTGTGCTCTTTATTCAATGTTGAGAGCTGAAATTGATGAAGATGCACAATGTCAAGTACTGCTATCCGATTTAACCAACACAGTTCATAAACAATGTGAGGAATTATATTTTAAAGCTTTAATTTTTTTTAGTTTTATCATTTCATAATGATAATGTGATTATCACACTTTCAAAATTTACTCAAATAGCCTATCTCACAAGAAAACAAAGCGGATGTCCAGACTGGTTCATTTACAAACGATACAGATTAAGCAACTCTATGGCTCATTCTATATAAACAAAATCTAAAAGCAATTTTGAAAAATTGGATTTTAGATTTTTAAATAATACATTCGAGGAAACAATTGCAACTGATTATGGAATTAAATTGGAAAAAATTGCAAAAACATAAATTTTCGCTTAAAAAAATATTAGAATAATTGATGCAGTAGTTATCATTTGTAATGAAGCTTCCTGGATTTGTGCAAGTCCTGATGGTATATTCAAAAATGGAGATAAAATAAACTTACTCGAAATTAAATGCCCTTACACGTGTAAAGATTTTTAAAAGTTTTGTCGATTTCAAGACAAATAAGGTATTCGTAAAATATTTAGAGTTTAAAAATTTTAAACTTTATCTAAAAGAAAATAGCATTTATTATACACAAAATCCAATTAGCCTTACCTTATATATAACAAATATTCAATTTTTCTTATTTATTTATCTATAGTAATGAACGAATTGTAATTCTTAAAGTGGAAAAAGATGAGACATTCATTTGTTCACTATTAAAGAAGATGCAAATGTTCTACTTTTTGTTATTATTTACCTGCAATTGTAAATAGTATTTAAGAAAATAGTTTTAGTGTTTTCACAATAAAAAAAAAAATGCACTCATTTATAATTTGAGGCTGTATTGAAATCCTTATGGGGCATTTTCAATTAAATATTTTATAGTATAAGCAGATTTATAATAGGAATAAAACTGAATTTGAAGTTGAACTGATGATGGTTTTTCAGTTTTAATTTCTGCACAGTCAATGATTATTTTTGTTTCGAGATAATTTTCTCTAAATGATTGAAGTAATGTAATCTTAACAGATAATTTACAAACACAGAACAATTTACATTTGATTTTTTCATTCTTAATATTATAACTCAGATACAAATTAAAAAACAATAAGCGATTTACTGCTGTAGGTACGGTTTTCGAAATGTCAGATACAATGCACATGCATTCTTTAGCTAANAGATAATTTACAAACACAGAACAATTTACATTTGATTTTTTCATTCTTAATATTATAACTCAGATACAAATTAAAAAACAATAAGCGATTTACTGCTGTAGGTACGGTTTTCGAAATGTCAGATACAATGCACATGCATTCTTTAGCTAACTCCTGTGTTATGTAAATATTTTCCACCAGGGCGGCGCGCGAGTAACTTGTACTCGGACTCTGTTATTATTTGAAATTCTATTCTGTCATAGTTAACAAACATTTAAAAATATATGTGGTATCTTTTGTACTACCTAATAATACTCTAAAGTCTAAACATCTAATAATATACGGACACGCGATCAATGATTTATATCTGTAACGGTATGCCTAAAATGGACACTAGGGGCGCCCCTAGCTATTATTTAAATTAACAACAAATTATTTTAATTTGTAATAGGAATTTATTTTTGATATAAATTTATTTATTATTTATATCACATAATGACACCGCTGCTGCAAGAACGCCTACTATGGAGCGGCCCGGGCCACTAGTAAGACAGATTCCGGTTCCGCCCTGCAGGCCCTTTTTGTAGCTGGGCCGCTCTCCGGGCTTTGAGCCGCTCTCTGGATCCCCTTTGTGATTTTCGCTTTATCGGAGGTTCTTCCAATGGGACAGTGGGCCCCGGGCCCACTGTCCCATTGGAAGAACCTCCTCGACCCACAAAAAACACCAAAATTAGAAATAATATAAATATGAACGATGCACCGGACTATGTTCTTGTCCCTGGCACGCGCGTCGTTTCAATTTTGTTACACACATACACACACACTTCTTGATCTTCGCAACCAATTTTTCTGGTCCACAACA